TGGTGAGGATTTTTGTTTTCTTGACATTGAGATGTATATCTTAATTCTTCTATGGCCTTACTTATTCACTGGCCAACTTTCGCATGCATATGAAGCTACTGGAAAATACCCCGGCTTGGGTCTGGCGCACCTCAGTCCTCAAACTGACATCTTTGTTCTTGAACATTTTAAGAGGTCGTGTGCAGCAGATTTACCCAATGCAATCCCTTGCCTGATATTTCGACTGCTACTTCTGTGAATGCAGATTGTGGATCCAAGAAAAATGAAGTCTTTGACAAGTTCTATCTTTTATCCATTTATCATGATGCTATTTATTGGTCCAGTGGTGAGGTGTAATCCATACTAAAGGTCGTGGTCTTCAGTAATCGGCAAAGGCCTGAGCCCATCAGAAAGAAAACTCAAATGTTTTCCATTAACACAACTGATAAGAGAAGTGGTTGTTGTTGTTAAGTGCCTTGGAGTCAGTTGTGACTCACAGTGCCCCTGTATAGCCCCTGTATAGGGTTTCTGAGGCTTTAAATCTTTTACAAGAGTAGAAAGCCTGATCTTTCTCCCATGGGCTCAAATCACAGACCTTCTGGCTCACAGTCCAATGCTCAACGTAAGCAGTTAGAGAAATGATCACACTTGTGAGACCCAGAAAGACAAGGCAGACCTGATGAGTTTCAGTTCTCAGAGTCCTCACTGTAGGTATGATGTTGTCACTCTGATTCACTGGTTCCAATTTCACACTTTGACGTGAGGAAACAAAACACTTACCTCTTTATAAGATTTACATTTAGGTCCATTCCACCGAACTTGGACAGGAAGTCAAGGTACGGAACAGCACCTGAGCTGGTGAGGGGCGTCTATATCCAAAGAGAAGAAGAAGGCAGCACATTAGAGGAAGACATAAGGTCTCACAAACGGACAGTGCAGTCAGTCTTTGCTTTGCAGTTTGTGCCAGGAGACACTGATATGGTTGATACAATAACCATCACTATGATTTTGACTCGTAGTGACTCTGCAGAGTAGAACTCCCCATAGGTTTTCTAGGCTGCAGTGTTTACAGGGGAACAGGGGCAGGTCTTTCTCCCATGGAGCCAATGGTGGGTTCGGACCACCAGTCTTCTGGTTCTCAGCCAAGTGCTTGGCCATTGCACCAAAAGGCTCCGTACTAAACACTCACAACAACTTCGTCCAGGCGTCTGGGTTTCTATGTACCCTCAGCAAACCAAGTGCAAATAGCATCAAAGAACGTCACTCTGTGTGCAGTTCAAAGTCAACAAGTTAGCTACAAAGTTACTGAAAATCTCAACCCACAATCTATGGAAAATTAATACAACATGAGCAGAAACAGACCCTAATGTATTAGCGCCAAGAGGCAGAGACCACAGCACGATTTTACAGTTTGAGTCCCAGTGCCAGGTGAACTTCTGTGCATTTATATACCTTTGAGATAGAAAAAGTTAGTCTTAAATTCAAAATGCTACACAGGACACTGCTGGACCAACATGGACAGTATTGTTTTTGTTGTTATGTGCCATGGAGTCAGTTCTGACTCAGCGCGACCCTGGGCAGGGTTCCTGGGGCTGTAAATCTTTATGGGAGAAAAAGCCTCATGTTTCTCCCATGGAGCAACTGATAGATTTGAACTGCTGACCTTGTGGTTAGTAGCCGAGCTCATAATCCACTATGCTACCAGAGCTCCTGAATATAGACAGTAGGTAAAATAAAAATATTATCTCCCTTCTAAATTTGCTCCAGTGGAAACTGTACTGTGATTACATGGGAGAAGAATTCTTATTCCTGGAAAATACACATTCAAATGTTTTGAGGTGATGGCTGTGTGCCATTGAGTCAGTTCCGACTCATAGAGACCCTGTATAGGGTTTCCAAGCCTGTAAATCTTTACGGGAACAGAAAGCCTCATCTTTCTTCCGTGGAATGACTGGTAGATTTGAACTACTGACCTTGCAGTTAGCAGTCCAACTCGTAATTCAATACACTATCAGAACTCCTGATATTTTGGAACAAACAGTTCCAGAAAAAAAATATCATGTATTCGTTGTCTATATATGTAGTGTACGTCTCATTTGTAGATACACACACTCATAGGGAGAAAGCATATGATCAAGTAAATGGGGTAAAATATCAACAGGCCAACCTGGGTAGAGAGTATATGGGTACTATTATTCTTACACATTTTCTGGAGGTTTGAAATCACTTCTAAATAAAAAGTTAATTTTTTTTTTGAAAAAAATGAAAATCATGACTTCAGAAACACTATAATGAGGTTAAAATGAAAATAAACATAAAGTCAACATGTCATAAATATATTTTATTAAGTTCAAAACAAACAAACATTCAAACTACAATTTCCATACAGTTGAAGCCTATACCATCAAATCTGATATTTGCTTCGTCCTTAAAATTCCAGTCTCAGAGCCCAGCATGGTTATCCTCATGCTCCCCAAAGGGGAAATGTCTGCTTCCTGTTTATGACAGTTAAAATTTTGGACATGGGATGAGTGGCTCATGGGGGAAGGAGGGACTCAGCAGAAGACGTTTCCTAGAAAGGACACCCACGACTTCTATGTCCAATAGGGCAATTTTCAGTAGAAATAATCGTTCATAAACATTTCACTGATTCCTAATTTTCTTAGAAAAGGTCAAGAACAGATTCTATGTGTAATTCAAGAGAATTCTTGGATGCCCGGGCACATTTGGTGATGACAGGGTGTCTAAGAAAGGGAAGAATCTTACATTCATAGAGCACATGTCCAATGAACAACACTACTCTTGGTGTGCAGAGACCTGGAGTTAGAAAACCAAAAGGGAACATTTTTCAGATGAAAAAGCTCAAGAGAGAATTGAAGCCGCAAGTTGTACTATAGAGGGATTCTTTGGGCAAAAAAAAAAAAATGTGAATGATGCAGAAAGCATCAAAAGTAGCTGGAAGGAATGCACAAGAGTCACTGTACCAAAAATAATTACCGGTTGACATTCAACCATTTCAGGAGACTGCCATTGATCAAGAGTCACTGGTACTGAAGGAAGACGTTCAAGAAACACTGAAGGTATTGACAAAAATCAAGGCTCCAGGAATTGATGGATATCAATTGAGAGGCTTCAACAGATACAAATCTTAGAAGCACTTATTCATCTTCGTCAAGAAAGTTAGAAGAGAGCTACCCGGTCAAACAGCCACAAGAGATTCATATTGATGCCCATTCCAAAGAAAGGCAATCCAATGGGATGTGGAAATGACTGAACAAGATCATTAACCTCACATTCTAGCCAAATTCTGCTGAAGGTAATTCAGACAAGGCCGTAGTCGTACATCAGCAGAGAACTGCCTGAGTTCAAGTCAGGATCATGAGAGGACAGAAAACCAGGGATATCATTAGTGACATCAGATGGATCTTAGCTGAAAGCAGAGAATTCCAGAAAGACCTGTGCATTATTGACTGACCAAAGGCATTCAATATTGACTGCCCGAAGCCATTCAATGTCAAAGGCATGGTGTATCACATATCAGGAGTAGCAACATTAGCAAGAACAGAGTCAATACTTAACCGTATTCATATGGAACCTGTGCATGGATCCAGACACAGTCATTCAAAGAGAACAAAGGGCTCAGGGAATCGTAAGGAATGTTACGAAACAAAATGTGCAGAAATTGCTGAACGGAAAACTAATTTGCTCTGTAAAATTTCACCCAAACCATAATTTAAAAAGAAAATGAACTGATGTATTGTGCTGGGCAAATTAGCTGTAAAAGACCTTTTTTATTTTAAAGTGTTCAAAAGCAAACATGTCAGTTTGATGACTAAGATGTACCTGACCCAAGCCATGGTCTTTTCCAATCGCCCCACGTGCATGTGAAAGATGGACACTGAGAAAAGATGGAAAGAGAAGTAAACACCCTTGAAGTGTGGTGTTGGTGACTAATACTGAATACACACTGGACCTGCCAGGAGCATAAGCCTGTCTTGGAGGAAATGCAGCCAGGATGTTGTTTAGAAGCCAGGATGGCCAGACTTTGTCTTACATGCTATGAACACGTCACCAGAAAAGACCAGACCAGACACTAGAAGGGGGCATCCCTAGGAACTGAACTGTCTTCCAAAAAATGTGTTGTAGATCCTAATTCGTACAGTTGTGGTTCGGGAGCTTTGGTGACACAGAGGTTAAGCACCTGGCTGCTAACCAAATGGTGGATGGTTCAAACCCACCAGCTGCTCCACAGGTGACAGATGTAGCAAATTGCTTCTGCACAGATGTGCAGGCTTGTAAGCCTTCTGGGGCAGTTCTGTGCTGTTCAGTAGGTTACTATGAGTTGAAGCTGATTCGATGGCAGTGCGTTTGGTTTGGGGTTTTGTACTGTGGTTATAATCCCACTTGGTATTCAGTTGGTTTGTTTTGCTAATGAGACAGTGTTAGTCTTGCCTGAATCAATGTCTGTTGAGACAGGGTTAGTCTTGCCTGAGTCAATGTGTTTTGAGACAGTGTTAGGGTTGTTGAGTCAAGTCTTTTGAGATATCAAAGGAGCAGACTGAAGCAAGGAAGCCGAGCTGGGGGACAACAGGCATCACACACATAAAGATCAACCAAGGAACTAGGGCTCTCCCCCAACAGAGGGCTGAGAGACAGACAGCCTTACCCTAGAGGTGACGCCCTAGCCTCCTGAACAGTGAGGAGGAAATAACTGTGCATGGTTAACACTGCCCACTGGCAGCACTAGAGAACTGAGGAAGTCCAAGTCAAGTTCGGTCAAGTGGAGAACCAATGAAAACAAGAGAACCGTTCCATTAAGGTGGAACAGCAAGATGATTGCAACAATGGACTCAAATACATCAGCAACTGTCGCCCAGAGCTAGGCAATGTGTCGTCCTGCTATACACAAGGTCTTAGACTGCACCTTACAACCACAAAAACAACTTCCAGTATTTTACATGCACTAATTCCTCTAACCTTAAAACCACCTCCCGAGGGGGCCAGGGGCTGCATTTCACGGAGCGGAGGTGTAACCAGCCTGCCTGGTTTTGCAACAAAGGACAGAATTCACCCATTGCATTAACCATCACCCCGGATGAGAAAGGTAGCCCTGCAGACTGGGAAGCATTGATGGTTCACACTGTAGTGTGGGATCTAACACGGAATCGAACGTGGCAGATATGTGATTGGTGTCCAATTATTGGTCATGATTGGTCTCCAAAATTAACCCAAGAACTGTGTTAGACAGATTAGCTTGCTCAGGCCTCGGTTTTTCAATCTTTGTGATTCTGGCCAAAAAAAAGAGAGAACTGCTTTAATGAACCAAAACCATCCCTAGCTCAATCCCCAAAAGCAAATTCTTAGGCTCGTATTGGGAGGTGATAGATCTGAAATCAGTATCCATTGTGTTGAACTTTCTTTTCAAAGAAGACTTCTCTGCCCCCAATCAGAGGCACCAGAACAGAGCTTTATTTTTCCCTGGCTGCCAACTGCGAGGGGGCTGTAAGAAGTCCCCGGAAGAATTCCAGTGTCTTTTAACACCATTTTTCATGACTTCATGAAGAACCCTTGTATTCATTTTTTAAAACAATTAGCATTCAGAGACTCTCAGGCATCCACATTAAAAAGAAAACAAACAAACAAACAAACACCTCATATCACTCTTAGCACAGTCACTAGGAGTCGGTACTGACTTAAAGCAGTGGGTTAGTAACGCAGACTAAGGTATGGGGCAGGTTACAAACAGTGCTTCTTGGTCAAAGGCAAAGACATCCTGGGAAGCAATTTCTCACAGGGTTCCTGAAGCAAAATGAAACCTCAATTAAGTTCAGGACAAAACTGGAAAACCCTTCTCTCATTTTAAGGTAAA